TAGACTATTATTAATAATATTAGCTTTATTTTATATATTTTATATTTTTTCTCAAATAAAATTAATAAAGAATTACATAATAATAAAATTTCTATAATTCTATTTAATATAGATATTATTATAATAAAATTAGATTTAAAGATTATATATAAATATATAACTAATTAGTTTATATATTATATTATTAAAGTTTTTAAAATTATTCTAGAATAGATTCTATAGATTATTATTACTTTTCTTATATAAAACATACTAATATATTTTAGTAATTATATATTTCTAAAATTTAGTTTTTATTATAGTTATTAGATTAATACTATTTTTCTATTTCTTAATTAGTTTCTTTCTTTTATTAATATCTATACTAAATTGAATTTAAATTCTTTCTAATATATATATAATTTATAATAAAAGAGATTTAAAAGTAAAATATTTTATAATAGATTTATAAAAATAATTAAATAATAAAAATAATAAAAGTATTTAGATATCTGGTTTAAATATCTAATTAAGATACTAGATATTCTAGATATTTAGAAATATTAAAGATATTAAAATAAATATTTTGCCTTTAAATATTTTATTTATAATAAGAAATTTGGAAAGTGAAATATTATAATTTCGAGAGAATCTAAAGTTTAAAGAACTTAATTTAATAGTAAAATCGAAGTTATAGTTAAAGAATTTTAAAGATATATATAAAATATATATTTTAGAAAGAAAGTCTTATAAATATAAGTATTATATAGATAGAAAGAATAGGTTCTAAGAAAGTAGTTTTAGAATTAAAAGAAATTAGTTTTAAAAAATAATAGAAATTAAATAGATAAATAATTAAATAGCTAATTATTTATTAATTAGTAAAAGCTAGATATTTTCTTTATAAGCTACTAAATACTTTTATAAAGTTAATAAATAGTTTCTTTCTTTAATATAAAATAGACTAGATTTGTTTTAAGCTACTAAATACTTTTAGAACTAATCTAAAATCTTTTCTAATCTATATATATAAATTAATTAGTATTAGTTTACTAGTAATATATAATACTATTATATAAATATAGAAATACTAGTTATATTATTTAATAAAGTTATTATTTAGAAATAAGAATTATAGTATTATAGTATTAATATATAATTCCTAAATCTACTAAGCCTAAAAGAGTCTAGTTTACTAGTTAAATTACTTATAAAATATAAAGTTATATTACTATATTTCATATCTTATATCTTATAACTATATATATAACTTTTAAAGAAATAGCCATATTAATATATTTTTTATATATTTTAATAAATTTATAAAAGATTAATTTTAAATAAATTCTTTTTATATATTTTCTAATATAAAAAATTAAAATTATATTAAAAGAAGCTTTAAAAGAAGTTTATAATATTAATAAAATAATAATTAATAATATTATATATTTGTTTTTTTTAAATAAATAAAAAATAATATTATCTATATTTAAAAGCTTATTAATTTTAATAAAATAATATATTAAATATTAAAATAAAATAAAAAATAGAATTTTAAATTAATTATATATTTATATAAATTTTATATTAATATAATAATTAATAATACTAAAATAAAATAAAATCTTATATTTAATATATTAATATATATAATTTAATAATTTAATAATATAAATATAAATATAAATAAATTATATTTATAAAAGCTTAATTAATTAATATAAAAAAGAAATTATTTTCTAAAATTATAAAAAAGCTAATTTTTATATATAAAAAGTTCTAATTATTAATATATAATTAAAACTAGAAAATTATTAAAATATTATAATTTATTATATTATAATAACTAAAATATTTATTTATAATTAAAAGCTTTTTTTATATTTTATTTTTATATAAATAATAAATTTAAAAAATTAAATAAAATATCTTAGATTTAAAATATTAAATAATTATTTATTTATATAAAATTCGAGCTATTTTACTAAAATTAAAGCTTAATAGCTTTAAATAAACTTTAAATTTAGTTTTTAAATTTATTTCAATTTTAATTTAATTCTAAAAAATTAATTTTATTTTTAAATATAAGGCTTTTTAAATTTCTAAAATCTTTAATAAATTATTATATTTTCTAATTATATTTATAAAGCTTTTTTTATAAGCCTATTTAAGCTTTATCTTTATTTATTAAAATCTTTTTTTAAATTTTTAAATATAATTATATTATATTTATAAGCTTATATTAATATAATATATAAATATATAAGAAATTGGTTTTTTTAAAAGCTTTTATTTAAATATTTAGCCTTTTATTTTATATATTAAATCCGATTAATTTTCTTATTTTATTTTTATTATAAGAAAAATATTATTATTTTTATGAGTTTTTTTAAGCTTTAATTCTATTTATAGAATTCTATTTTTCTTATATTTCTTTTTTTTTAAACTTTATTTCTATTTATATCTTTATTTATAGAACTTTTTTTTCTTTTTTTTTCTTATTTATATATATAATTTTCTTTTAATTCTATATTTATAAATTATTATTATTATTTATAGCTTTTATTTCTTTTACTTATATTATTTATATTACTTTATTATATATATTTAAAGCTTTTTTTATTACTTATTATATTTATTTATAATACTAATTATAAAATAAAATATATAAAATTTTATAACTAGTAATTTTAAGAAATAATTTAATTATATAATTTAATTATATAAATTAATTATAAATTAAAAATTTATAAACAAAATCTAATAAGCTTATAAATTCTTATAAGTTATTTTATTTCATTTTTATAATTTTAATTAAAAACCTTTAATAAATAAGAAATAAATAAGAAATAAATAAAATATTAATATTATATAAATAAAATAAATACTAATTAAATAAATACTAATAAAATAAATACTAATAAAATAAATACTAATAAATAAAACTAGTTATTTAGTTTTTATTTATATTATAATTAATAATTCTTTTATAAGATTTCTAATAATTTATAAAATAAAATAAAGTTTATAAATAATAAATTAAATAATTTAACTAATTTAAGCTTTTCTTATATATTAATAAAAATTTTATAATAAAAATAGCTTTTTATTTAAATATATATATATTTATATATTTATATAATAATTATATATTTAATATATTAATTATTTTATTTACTAATTATTTTATTTATTAATTATTTTATAATATATATATTAATTAGTTCTTCTTTATTATAATTTAATAAAGTACTTTTAGCTAATTAATTACTCTTTATTATAATTTAGTAAAGCGCTTTTAGCTAATTAATTACTCTAATTCTTTGGGCTAATTAACTACCCTTAATCTTTTAGGCTAATTAATTACTCTAATCTTTTAAGCTAATTAACTGCCCTAATCTTTAAGCTAATTAACTACTCTTAATCTTTTAGGCCAATTAATTGCTATAGTATAATAGGCTATATTCTTTAAAAATTATATTATTTTAGTAGTTTAAAAATTTAGATTATATAATAAAAGCTATAGCCTTTTATATATAACTTATAGAAATCATATAAGAAAGCTGGTTTTTCTATAGTTCTAGAGAATAATTCCTTATAAATATTTAATTAATTAAGCTTTTATATATTATATACTATTTATATTTTACTATTTATACTTTTAATTTATTATTTTACTATTAAGTTACGTTTTATACTCTAGTATACTTTATGTGATTTTTTATCTTATTATAGTTTCTTTTTTATATTACCTTAATCTTTTAGCTAATTAATTACTCTTAATCTTTTAAGCCAATTAACTGCCCTAATCTTTTAGGCCAATTAATTACCTAACTTTTAGGCTAATTAATAGCTCTAACTTTTTAGCTAATTAATAGCCCTAAATCTTTGGCTGATTAACTACCCTAATCTTTCGGCTAATTAACTGCCCTTAATCTTTCGGCTGATTAATCGCCTAATTCTTCGGCCAATTAAACTGCCCTAACTTTTCGGCCGATTAATTACCCTTCTTATTTTCTTACTTAATAATATTTCTTTACTGTAATTTAGTAAAGAAGAGGGTATGGTCGTTACCCAGAATTCAAACCTTTATTAGGCCAGGTCCTTATATAGCGACCTTGGCTAAGGAGAGTTAGGGCTGACTAAGCGTGCATGCTTGTGGTGCTTTCAACGTCTATAAAAGTTCGCCCTCCCCCGCTACTCGACCCTCAAAAACTCCTGACCGATTTTACGATATGCTACAAAATTGTCTCTAATCCCAGGTGACCCAGGGGCAAGCCCTGGCCATATGTTGCTCTGTCCTATTTGGAGACGATATCACCAAACCCTCTCACAGTTAAGATTGTAAATTTTCTTTTCAGGGCGGGGCTTCAAGGAAACGACCCAGAAGCTGTGTGGCTGGCGTGTGGCTGGCGTGTAGGGGTGGGTCGTGGTGAGCCTTGCCAGATCCGTGCATCAATGCCCCGGAAGCAAAAATGAATTTGACGACTCATTTATTGGTCTATAATATTGATTCGGTATCTTCACCTGTACGCGATTTCTGGAAATAGAACCATAGGACCTTCGTATCACCTTTGCTGTTAATCGCGATAGGTTTAGGCTCCGGCTCCAGCGATACGGAATGCTTCGACAGCCTCAATTGTCACCACGTCGTCCGGGAGATCATTGAACTTCGCAGCAGTCGGAAGAGCTGTCCAGAAAGACAACCTGGAAAGGAGAGCATGTGCGATACCCCTTCTGGTTCGGAGGAAGCGCAAGTTCCTTCGCAGCCTGTGTGACACATCCCCTGGATCTTGGTGAGTCTCCATAAGCCCCAATTATTCCCTCATAGCTGACAATTCTAAAGTAAAAGTAAATGTGATCCAATCTCCTCGCAGAGAATTCTACTAAACAGAATCACCAGGTGAGGCTACAAACACGCAGAGCAAATGCGCCGAAGCAAGCCTACATTATACACGCCTCCCTCGCCACATACTATGGTGGACGTCTCAAGCTCCCATGGCAATCTAGTATAATACAGGCTATGTTCGTTTCTTCAAGTCATGAACAACCTCGTCAGCTGACTCGTATTCCCCAGCCCAGCACTTCTTTACAACATCACCACCTAGCACCTCATCTAGAGCAGAAAACTGCCCCGCCTTGAACCGGCTCACAATTTCCAGCTTGTCCTTCCAAGGATCCAGCCCCGGAAAGGGCGGGTGACCTTTCATCATGAAATAGATAGCTGACCCCGAAGCGAAAATATCAGTCTTCCAATTCGCATTATTTGGATCTGATCGTGGCATCGATGACTTGACACCCTCAGCCGAATCACCATTAGGGTGAATTGTACCATCGGGACGCAGAAGTCTCCCTTGAAAGTCGCATAATCTGATGTTCAAATCCTTGTCAAGGAGTAGATTTCCAACACCAATATGCAGTGAATGGCTCTTCTCGTGTGAATATACGCAACAGCCTCTGCAGCCTGCAATGTCCATTTCAATCTCTCTTGTATCGGGGGTTGCGGGTCGGTATTATGGAGATAATCAGCCACTGATCCGTTGGGCATATGCTCGAGCAAGAGACCCTCCTCGTGTTTCCCCTTGAAACCGATAATTCGACGATGCTGTCCCAAAACTCCAAGGATTTGTTCTTCGACGTCAAGACCGATTAGCTGTCCCTGTCTCAAGACCCTGTTAATCTTTTCTTTTTCGAAGTCAAGACCTGGGGGCTTTTCTGAGGGTATTTGAGGGTATTTGAGGACAGTATTCTCGTCGACGAGTCCAATGAAGCTATTGCTGCCTGAAGCAATAACGCTCTTGACTCCGCGTGGATACCAAGCGTGTACTATGAGATCGGGCTCCGGAATTTCCATAGTAGGCCTGGGATTGAAGGATGTCTGGAATCGTCTCGCTTTCGTCTGTTGTTTTCAATAATTGTTTCTGTGATTGTGTATGGACGAACATTTCACGAGAATTTAAGGCAGCAAGGGGCGGTACCACATTCTAACTGGGATATCCATGTGTAGGTTGTCTTGGTGAACAATTTCGGCGCGTTTTAGGACTGGCGCCTTGAAACGCGCTTGGCTTGTTTGGTTCTTTGGCTTGCTAAAACATCTGAGTATACCTATATACGAGACTCGTCGTCTCTTGTCCTCTCTTCTCTTCTTCTCTCCTTAGCTTCAGATCCTCGAATAAAGGCATTCTCCTACGAGAACCGGAAACTGTGTCCCTTGTGACTTTCCGTTGAACCTGCTCGTGCGCGCCGTCACAACTTTCACCTGACTTTCACGTGATATTCAACCATTAATTAATTATTAATTAATAAATTAATCAAATCAAATCAACTTTTTCAAAATACGCTATTCAAATCATAATTAATTATTAATTTAAATAGTTGATTAATTTTTTGACACACTAGTAACTTGTAATGCAGACGAGAAATATTACCGAGGCACTAAGAAGTGCTTTCAAGCCATCGAGCGACATATCGTAGTGGACTCGAGAAGATCTTCTTTCCTGTTGTCGTATATGCTATGTCGGATACGGAAGTTGAAGCCATTGCCTCTAAGCCGTTGTCTACCAAGTGCTAGATTCTTGGAGGATTATATTAAAAGGTTACAGGATGGGCATGAGATTTTCAGAGGTATTATGGGAAGTGATAGGAAGTGATAGTAAGATCGAGCACCAGAATCTTGGCAACGACGGTATTAGCAAAGAGATAATAACTACTAGTCGGCGCAAATGACATAATAATAATAGTTAAACTATAGATGAACTAAATAGCACATTTAGCTTTATAACTACCCTAAGAAAATCTATTATTATAGCTATAATACCGATTTAAGTTTATATTATATAGTAATAGAGGAATGCGAATACTTGTATTTTATATATCTAACTAAAAGAAAATCTCCTAGCTTCTGCTCTAGCTATTGCAAGTTCTCTCTTTATTATAAGCTCCTTTATATATACAGGAATTCACGGTCGTATAACTAACCGGATAATTTATAAGAGCAATTGTATTAATAAAGTAATTAGGGCCTAGAGAGCTATAAGAAGAATAGTTAGTAAAGTCTATACCTCTATAAGTACTAGTAGTAAGTAGTAGGGTAATATTACTATAAGATAGAGAAATATATAACAAATAACTTTAACTTGCTATTATAAGGAAGTTATAAGTCGAGAGGTCCTTTATATTAGACTAATTATTAATAAGTAGGAGCTAATAGTTCTATAAGGCTCTAAAGAAAAAGAATAGACTATTTCCCGAAAAATACTAGTAAATTAATAGTCTAAGGAAAAGAGGAAATATTATATTATAAATATTAAATATATTATAAACTATATTTAGATAATTATTAAATACGAGCTTATAACTAGTATAGTAGAGGTTTTTAGTAACTTTAACTAATATATAAATATTGGTTCCCAACCCCAAATATCCCATACTAAATATAATTAGTAATATATATAAAAGAGATTATTTTATAGAACTTTAAACTTAAGAAATATTAGAATATTATTAGTATTTAGCCTTTATTTCCTATTACTATCTAGAAGTTATTATTATTTCTTGGTTTAATAAATATATTTTCTAGAGGTACTATTATATAACTAGCTCTATTTTTAATAGATCTAAATATATATATATTCTATATAACTTTAAAGCCGAATCTAATATATATAGAATTAGTAGAATCTGGAATTAAGTTATAGAAAATAAAGATTTTAAAAGAATTATAGCTATTATTCTAGCTAAAAATATAGGCTTTACTATTAGTTAAAAGATTAGTATAGTAATTAACTAAATAAAGCTCGGAAATATCTTAGTAGTTATATACTAGCCTATAGATATTACTATAATTAATAGTTAAATAATTAATAATAGTTTTATATAAAAGTATTATCTTATTATTATAGCTAGGCTTTTACTTATTATAATATATAGTTAAGATATAGATATTATTATATTTATTAGTTATAACTATTTCTAGAAGCTTAATATAAATATTATTAAATATAATTGAAATAAAGTTTAGAGATATAATAGCTATCTAAAAAGAATAGAAAGTAATAGTAAAGTTAATAAAGAAGAAAAAGAAAAGAAAATAGAAAAGAATAATAGTAATAGTCTATTTAAATATATTTATTAAAATTAAAATAATAATACTTTTAATATTAAAAAAGAATAAAAGGTTTCTCTAAATTACTATAATAACTAATCTATAACTTTATTTTTATAATTATATAAGAAAAGATTATAAATTAGAAAGTCTAGTATTTATTAATATTTTAGTAGTTCTTTTCTAAAAAGTATAGAAATAGTTTCTTTTTATATTTATTTTATTATAAGAAAGACTTATAGACTATATATAAAAGAACTAGATTATAGCTATTACTAATTATAGTATAGCTATTATAAATATCTTACTAATATATATAAGAATAAAATTAGCTAACTCAAATGTTTTTTTATTTTATATATTATTTAAATATAAAGTTTTTGGTTTACTAAAATAAATAGGCTACTAGTAAATAAGCCTTAGCTATAATAGAAGCTTCTATTATACTACTCTAAAGTCTATTACTTAGTTCTATAGACCTAGCTAGAACTTTTAACTTTTAGCTATTTAATAATTACTTCTCTATTAATTAAATTATAGAGCTACGAATTTTTATAATAATACTATTATTATATAAGAATATCTAAATAGTTATATTAGACTTAGAAATATATAATAATATAATTATAATTAGATAGAGGTACTAAGATACTTTTTTAGCTATATATAATTATAAGATATAAAGAGTTATTTTTGGTTTATTAATTAATAATAGCCGAGTTATTTATAGAAGTTACTATTTTCTAGTAAGGTTTACTAAAATAATTATTCTCGTATTATATAATAGGTGCTATATATAACTACTATATTTATAATACTTATATTAGAAGTCTATAGTACTTAATAGAGAATTATATACTAAGGGATTATATCGGGAAAATGTTTCGATATTTGTAGAAAGGGAGTATAGCAAGGAACTCGAAGAAAATCCACGACACTAACCCTAATCTCGTAAGGTAGGTAGATTCCGAGGGATAACTATATTTTTTAATCTTATAGAGAATATACCGCTACTAGGAAAATGGATCTCCTGTCTTATAGGGCCCTTGGAGGCATGCCCTAAGAGCTATTCGTAATTAGAGGATATTGCCTTAAAGTAGTAATTAATCCCGTGAATATAAGAAGACCGGTTATACTATAAGAGACCAATTTTTCTTTCTGTTACGAGCCCATTCTTACTAGTCTATGTATTTAGGCATGTTTTCAGGCCACACTTCACCCCGCACTATACCTAATTTCACTAATTATCTTCAAAATGACTACTACGCTGCCTCCTCTTGATTTTCAGTACCTTCCTGGCTATGAGAACCCTATAAAATACAAGGAAGCGATATGCCAATTATACTGGTTTGGCCACGTGCTAGTTTTAATGATCCAGGTGTAATATCACCTTGGTAAGAGCTTAGTTTGTCGTATTTTGAGCTATAATTACCCGGAGAGCGTACTTGCGAGACATATATCCAGTACCAGTTTTACTGCGGTAATACGGTACCGGTTAATATATAGGAATTAATTAAATATGAATACAAGAGTCCTTTGCTATTTATTTACGGATCCGGTAAGAAAGAAGCTATAACCTAACGCAATTATCTCTCTCAAATTCTCGTACCGTATATAGAAGGTATTATTAATACCTTTACCTTAATTACTCACCTACTTTACCTGTTAGTAAAGCCTCTTTTTATAGAAGACAGTAATTCAGCTTATGGGTACAAGTCTACTAGTAACTATTATACTAAATAGAGGACAAAGTATAGTATTATATTAATGCCACGCCTTTCTATAAGCGAACTATCTCTAGATAATGCGAATTAAAAGTCTGATTATCCCGAATTCCAATTAATAAATAAGGTAGTAAGGCGTGTTTCGGAGCTTTAATAATATTTCTGTAGTTCTTATTACTTATATAATATCTTGACTTAATAAATAGTAATTTTGGTAGTATTTAAAGCTAAACCTATATTAGCCTAATATACTATTTATAAGAGTTATTAAATATAGAAATATATTACTATTTAGAGATTTAGTAATATATTATTATTATATATTCGTAACTTAATATATATTAATTTTTAGTAAATAACTAGACGGCAAGCCCGTATTAGGAAACTGCAACCCCTCGTATTAGGCAAGGTATATATACGGGCCCACTGCCGCTTTTATAGGATATAAAAAATCTTATAACTTTATTACTTGCTCTTTTCCTTTTTTCTTTTCTTTCTAACTACCTAATAATTTTTATCTTATAATACTTAATACTCGCTTTTTATACGTATTTAGTTTTTTTATTCAAATTTTATTTCTTTTTATTAAACTCCCCTAACTAGCCATACTATAGCTAAAAAAATAATACTAATAAGGTATAAAGTAGTTTTAACTAAAATTCACGATCTTTCTTACTACTTTAATACTACTAAGTAGCTAAGTAATTATAATACCGCGAATTGCCTCCTAAACTGCCTTATATTAGCTAAATTATAAGCTTTTTATATTTTAACGTTTTTATAATTTGCCTTATTATTATATTATAACTATTTCTTAAAATAGGCTACTTCAGAGATTAAGATATTATAAACTTAGCCTGTACTTCTTATAGTATAATAATGCCTTATAATAATATGGCCTGGCCTTTTACCTAGCTATATTATATGTGAATAATATATAGATAGTTTCCTATAAGTTTCCTTATACTATAGTATATTTTATATTTATTTAATTATATGGATTTAGGCTAATTTAAAATAAAAGAA